TTGTTGGTGCATGGTTGGCACTCATCGGGTATTATTAAAGGAGTCAATGAATGGATGAGACACCTTCCTAAACATGCAGTAACTTTCAGTCAACGTGATCTGCTCATCCTGAACATATCTCATACTTTTCTTCTCCTTTACCTTTGTTCATGTTTGCACACTGTCATGAATAATCCTAATGTCTATGCTCATTAAAATACCACCAACCCTTCACATATTATCTCAAATGTCATTATCCTTTTCCAGGTCTTTCCTAATGTCTCCCATTTGCTGTCTTTCTTTTTTGAATCTTTATAAAATAATTATTTTATGCTACTTATATTTATTCCGGTTTGAAATATAAACTTTTTTTCTTTTTAAATAGTTACCTCCATCCCTCCTTCCCCACCTTAGCAATGACCTGGGAGATACAGATGAGGGCATTATCATTCCAAGGTAATGTCAGAGTAAAGGAAAGGAAAAGGAGAAAGGGCTTCATTTTTAAAGTGTGAAGTCTTGATTCGTTGTCTTGGGTAGAAGCAGTATACCTCAATATCAGCTACTTCTCTTCCTCATCAATTTGATTCTGAGGTCTTCAGCATCTCTACAGGAATAAGTGTCACATAGAACCTTATTTAGCTGTGTGATGTGTACCCAAGGCTTAATACCTTTCAGTTTTGTAGCAGTGTCAGTGGTCAGGAGCACTCAGTGAGGTCCTTTCTGATGGGGCTTCAGGGCTGTCTTCCTCTGATGATGTTTCAACAATACCCAGTCATTAGGATCCAGACTAGGAACAGCAGGACCCTTTGAATTTAGATACAAAAGCCTTCTTTAACCTACTGATGATAGGCTTGAGCATAAGACATTAGAGACTTACAGTAGTTGGTCATACTGGCATAAGATGACAAGGGACCAGCGGAAGGTTGTATATTGAAAGAATTTTAAGAAGTTTGTAAGGTTTTTTTTTTTTAAGGCTCATATGATTTGTCCAGTGAAGTGGGTGCCTCCATCACTGGAGATCATGCACAGTGTACCCCAAATGGACAACACTCTTTCTAACAGTTTCTTTGCTACAGTGGGGCCATTAGCCTTGCAGCAGGGGAAAGCTTTAGCCCATCTGGGAAACACTCATCCAATAACTAGAGCATACTGATAACCCACACTAGGTGGCAGTTGAATGAAGTCCAGCTGTGGGTGTTCAAAGGGTCCAGAGGGAGGAGTCTGAGGCCTCTGGAGACAAAAATCGTTTTTCCAGGATTATGGACCTGACAAGTCAGACATTGCTGATAGACTGTTTTTACAGTTTTGCAAAAGTCTCTCCACCAATGTCTGTTCCTAATTAGAGTCATCTTAAATGCATTATGGTGGGTGAAAGAATGCAAAAACTGAAAAATAGCATTTGTCAGGGAGCTGGGAAGAACCAAACAACTGTCTTGGGTTTCCCCCACCCCTAACATTCTTTAATTTATAGCCATTGTTTACTTATCTTAATTTCTGATTTTGGAACAGATCATTGCCATACTTCAAGGCCATCAGGATGGCAAAAGTCAGACAATGAGGGGTCAGTTTTTACAGAACCAGAATGGACTTTATCTACATGTGCTACAATTGTACAAATAAGAGTATAAAGGCTTAGTATTACTTATTTGACAATGCGTCTCATGTAATTTACATATCAAGTAAGCCTGATTAATTTAAAAATCTTTTGAAATATTCCAGCAAAAAAAGACTTCATTTAGAATTTGATTTGAGGAAGTTTGTCAAAAATATTATAAAAAAATTTTATAGCACTTCCCTAAATTAGGTCACAAATTTTTATGATCATGACCTGACCCGAAGGCAGATGCTTAACCAACTGATCCACCCAGGCACCCCTCTAGATACTAATTTAACTTAACTCATCATTTAATTTAGCACAACTTTAGGGTTTTAGCTTACCAAAAGGATTTGGGAAAACTAAGCAGACATAAATACTGTTGAAAAGAATTGCCTCTAGAGCTGACTTTTGTTTTACAAGAGGGTAAGATAAGGATCGTTTTTTCTCAATTCCTCAAAGAATTGGGTGGTCACTTAATTGACATTATAAGCTGACCTACCTATCCAACTACATTATCCTTAATTTGCTTCTTTCCCTCTGCATCCATATTTTTAATTTTAAATATTTCTGGCAATATTGAATAACCCCATACAGGTGTAAGATGGGTCCCCAAAGATGGTTCAAAAAATATTATCTTCTCAAAAGCCAGAGTCACATACAAAAATAGCCAACAAAACAAAACAAAACATGAAAACAAAAAAACCCAACAACCTGCATGTTCCAGGCAGGCAAAAAGCCAAGCACAATTATGAAAATGAGACAAGCAAGAAGGCCATAGCTATCCCTGGGAAAGAAAAATTCAATTAACAATGGGTTTGGATTTGGAAAGGAAAGGTCAATATGACACTTATTTTGTAAATCTCTACTGAACACTATAAACAGATTAGGAAGAATTGATTCTAAGAGATTCTAAGAGTCAGAGAAAAACAAATGCCATATGATCTCACTCACATGTGGAATTTAAGAAACAAAACTGATGAACATAGGGGAAGGGGGGAAAAGAGAGAGTGAAACCATAAGAAACTCTTAACTATAGAAAACAAACTGATGGTTGATAGAGGGGAGGTGGGAAGGGGGATGGGGTAACTGGGTGATGGGTATTAACTTGTTACGATGAGCACTGGGTGTTATATGTAAGCGAAGAATCACTAAATTCTACTCCTGAAACCAATATTGCACTATATGTTAACTACCTAGAATTTAAACAAAAACCTGAAACCAAAAATAAACAAATAAATAAATAATAAAAAATTACAGGGATTGCAATATTAATGTTAGCTTAATTTATGACATGCTCATTTCTGAGAAAGATTATTATACTACTGCCAAGTAGAAGATACTGGAATTTGGGGTCTTTAATAGTAATTTTTTAAAATACCATATACACCATTTCCCCCTTGTCTTTATTTTTGTACTCAATATATTGTCATAGAAATTTGGAATCTATTTTTTATTAAAATTATATGCAAATATCAAAAAAAAAGAAAAGCAAGAACTCATTCTAGTAAGAATTTTTACTTTTTGCCACATGCATAAGAATGAAAATGGACCATTTCCTTACACCATACCCAAAAATAGACTCAAAACGGATGAAAGACCTAAGTGTGAGGCAAGAATCCATCAAAATCCTAGAGGAGAACACAGGCAGCAACCTCTTCGACCTTGGTCACAGCAACTTCTTGCTAGACCCATCTCCAAAGGCAAGGGAAACAAAGGCAAAAATGAACTGTTAGGACTTCATCAAGATAAAAAGCTTTTGCATAGCAAAGAAAACAGTCAACAAAAACAAAAGACAACGGAGAGATATTTTCAAATGTCTTATCAGATAAAGGGCAAGTATCCAAAATCTATAAAGAACTTATCAAACTCAACACCCAAAAAACAAATAAACCAAAAAAGAAATGGGCAGAAGACATGAACAGATATTTCTGCAAAGAAGACAGCCAAATGGCCAACAGACATATGAAAAAATGCTCAAGATCACTCAGCATCAGGGAAATAAATCAAAACCACAGTGAGATTCTACCTCACACAGGTCAGAATGGCTGAAATTAACAAGTCAGGAAATAGATGTTGACGAGGATGCCGAGAAAGGGGAGCCCTCTTACACTGTTGGTGGAAATGCAAGCTGTTGCAGCCACTCTGGAAAACAGTATGGAGGTTCCTCAAAAAATTGAAAATAGAGCTACCCTACAACTCAGCAATTGCACTATTGGGTATTTACCTCAAAGATACAAATGTAGTGATCCAAAGGGACACCTGCACCCCAATGTTTATAGCAGCAATGTCCACAATAGCCAAACTGTGGAAAGAGCCAAGATATCCATTGACAGATGAATGGATAAAGAAGATGTGGTATATATATGCAATGGAATATTACTCAGCCATCAGAGAGGGTGAATACTTACAATTTACATCAATGTGGATGGAACTAGAGGGTATTATGCTAAGCGAAATAAGTCAATCAGAGAAAGACAATTATCATATGATCTCACTCTTGTGTGGAATTTAAGAAACAAAACAGGATCATAGAGGAAGGGAGGGAAAAATAAAACAAGATTAAATTAGAGAGGGAGACAATCCATAAGAGACTCTTAATCATAGGAAACAAACTGAGGGTTTCTGGAGGGCAGGGGGATGGAGGGTTGGGGTAACTGGGTGATGGACATTAATGAGGGCACATGATGTAATGGGCACTGGGTATGACTGATGAATCACTGAACGCTTCCTCTGAAACTAATAATACACTATATGTTAATTAATCGAATTTAAATTAAAAAAAGAATTTTTACCTTTTGCTGGCTTCTACTTCAACTTGTGCCCACTAATTTTTGCAGCTTTTTGGCCTCCAAGATCCCTCTAGCAATAGCCTTTATTTACACAAACAAGATAAATAAACATGCACACCTTAACACACCTGCAGTAATCAAAACATGTCACTGTGGACTGGCCAAGGGAAGTCCCCATGGACACCACCAGCAATCCCCAATGTGGACTAAACCAGCAGACTCCATTCAGGGAGACTTTGGCTAGGAAATGGGGAAAGGACCAAACCAGCAAACTCAAGTAAATAAGGACCTCGGACTGGAACTGGGAAGGGATTCCAATATGGAATTGTAGACTCAACCAAGGGCTAAGGAGGTGCTCCATTAGAGCCTCCTGTGAGTCTAGACTGATTTGATAACTTTGGACTGGAAAGCCATTTAGATCAGTAGCTTGAATACAAGAACAGAGCTGAAACCAAGAGGACTTACCAATAGCCCTCCAAAAGGGCAAGAAAAACAGTGGACTCAAAAGGGCTTTCAGGTGCTGCACCTGTGTTTCTCATTGTCCCTGAATGTCATTCACTTTGGATCTCAAATCTGCTAACAAAATTCAACTGAGCAAAACTTAAGATCTAATTTATTAAAGTATCCATGAAATCATGGTAGCCTCCCATCTGGCAAGTAGAGAGGAGTTCCCTTACGTTGTTACTGGTGAGTTTCTAAAGAGATTTATAGTTAAGGTAGGGCCTCAATAACACAGTAGGAAAAACATATTTGGGAAGAAAGAAATGACCTCAGATTTAAGTGTTTTAAAATTTGTGGAACAGTTGGGACACTCATGGAAATGTTCGGATATGTAAGTCTTTGTCAGGCTAGTGAAATTGACACTTACATGTGTAGATCAGCATATGGAGGGTGTTTACAGAGTAGCTAAGAAGGCTGAAGCTACATTTGAGGCTTATCACATTTAAGGTGTAGACACTCATTTATCTGTCCTTTCTATGTGAGTTCTAGTTATCATTTTTCTCTTACTACTTAACTCTTCATTCTTTATCATTTTACCATGTTCTATTTTTCTTCCTGGTACTTATCTCCATATAGTATGTCTATTCTTCATTTATCTAACTCCACATTGACTGTAAGCTCCATAACAGTAGATATTTCATCTGCAAATTTTCCTGTAGCATCCACAGTATATTGGACAGTACAATATGGACTACACTCTAGTAAAAAAAAAAAAAATACAAACACCAAAATACCAATGGCTTAACATAATGAAGAATTCCTTTTCACTGTCGTAGTCTGAAGAAGGGGAGGAAGCTCACCTCAATCTTGGATCTAGGCATCTGAACACACAAACTAGAAGTGTTCTGTGACCGTGGAAGAGAGGACTAGAAGGTCAAGGAAAGGATTTACATCACTCACAGCCCAAGGACCAGAACTTAGTCACATGCTCCCAATCCACTGCAAAGGAGACTGAAAAATATACTTTCTGTGCTTAGAAAGAAATAAAGGTGTTGTGAATGCATGGCATTTTCTCTGCCCCAGTCCTTGCCTGCAAACAGCATTTGTACTCAGTACTTCCCAGCAAATACTATTTAAAAAAATATCAGAATTTGTTATTTAGCAATTGGGGGGAGGAAGGGGGAATCAATGTCTAACTATGAGCTTTTAAAACTTTATGTTTCTTATATTTTTATGCTTTCTTTTCACAGGCAGATATCCATGAAAATTAGCAAATATTAACAAGAAATATGGAAGTAGCAATACCATGAAATCATAACCCAATGCTGTCATAAATTTACTTTTGAGGCATAGCAAATCCAAGAATCAACTTAATATTTATTACCTATTGTATTGGAACTCTACGGTATTTATAAATCCCAAGACTTTTGGTAAAAGTAAAATAATAATAATATTTAAGTATATACTCCTCCCCAGTGATGCTCACAAATATCCCAGAACCACTAATGTATCACTACCCTTTCATATTAGGACAGAACTCTTGTAGAAACTGCATGATGGCAAGTCAGTGGACTCCCTTGTTTGGGTGGAGAATAGCTAGAAACCCAATATATTTCAGACATACTTAATTACACAGAAAAAATCCTGAAGTCTCTAGTATCTTACCACATAACTTGGCAAAGTATTTACACACTCCTCATCAGCACTGCACGCTCATAAGCCTTATTTCTCTCTCCCATTTTAGATGGTCTATGCATGTGCTTTTTCCTGGCTGGCAAGTTCACCTCTCCTCCAAATTAACTCTTACTTATTTCCCAGGGAAACATTTCTAAGCAGCTTGATTCTGTCAAGTTACCTCTATTTATGGATATATCTCTGCTTCCTAGCCCTTACCGCCAATGAAAATTTCAATTTATTAGTATGATTGTTGGTCGGTATCTGTCTTTCCCCCTCACTTCTAAGCACCATGAAGATAGCCACAAGTTTTTATATTCATTAGATTCCCCAGTGAACAATGTCAGATATTCAATAAATATTTTTGAATTAATTAATTAATTTTGCCTTCACGGCATTGTCCTTTACCTTAGTATGTACAAGTGTATTGAAAAACAAAACAAGTAACAAAATCAGTAACAACACCTTGTTGTAGAAAACAAACAAAAACCTGGTAGCTAGCCAAGCAAGGATTTGAACATTGTCTTTCATTCTATGATACACTTTGACATAATGGAGACTATAGCTGGGATTACTGTGGGTAGTATGGACATTTTAACAATATTGATTTTTAAAATCCGTGAACACAGAATATCTTTCCATTTATCTGTGTCTTCTTCAATTTATTTCATTAATGACTTAAATGGATTGTCTTAATTTATTTTTCTGATAGTTTGTTAGAGTATAGAAACACAAAAGATTGTTATATATTGATTTTGTATCCTGCAACTTTATAACCTTTTCAAATAAAAAGTATTTGCATGAGGCAGGGTAGAGGTGGAGTTGGGAGGTCTTGAAAAAAAAAAAAAGGTAAGAAATTGCACATCAGAAAAGGTGCAGTTTAAATTATAGCCACTGACCCCAGAGACTTCTGCTTTTAATTCTTGAAGAGAAGTTCAGCAAGTGCCAGAGGACCTCATGAAGTCTTGTAAACCTGAGCTTGTTAGATAGTCTCTGCTTTTCTAGAACCTCAGAGAAAGAAAAATAACCACTTTGGCTCCTGTGAAATTGGGAAAACAACAACATGTTTTGAAGTAGGATTTAGGATATATACTTCAAGCTCTTCCACTTCTTATATGATAGCTAAAGAGAAATAAAAGTACCTTTATTAGAGCCATGCTCAGAATAGAAAATGACACACGTCACTATGGTTAAAAAGTTAAAATCAGAGCAATCTCCTGTGCTACACCTACCTCTAGTTTGTTTCTTTTACCCAGCCTTTTTTGTCATTTAGTTACTCTTTTCCACACTCCCTCTATACATGGTCTGGTTCTTGTGGTCTGTTACATATAATTTAGATAGAATAATTTACCAGTCCCACCTAGTAATTGGAAGGAGGGAAGTACTATATTAGGCCACACTTCAGTTTTCAGTTAAGAAGGCCCAGTGCAGTTACAGGGCTTATTTAAATTCCCCTGCAATGAATGGGCAGTTCTGTGGTTACACAACCCTTACACCAAAGTCCAAACTTTCATTATCTATCCCAGTAATCTTTGTTTTTTTTAAATTATTTATTTATTTATTTATATTTATTTTTACTAACATATAATGTATTATTTGTTTCAGGGGTACACTTCTGTGATTAATCAGTCTTCCACAATTCACATACCTTTCCCAATGTCCATCACCCAGCCACCCCATCCATCCTACCCCCCTCCACTCCAGCAACCCTCAGGTTCTTTCCTGAGATTAAGAGTCTCTTACAGTTTGTCTCCCTCTCTGGTTTTGTCTTGTTTCATTTTTCCCTCCCTTCCCCTATGATCCTCTGTCTTGTTTCTGAAATTCCTCATATCAGTGAGATCATATGATACTTGTCTTTCTCTGGTTGACTTATTTCACTTAGCATGATACCCTCTAGTTCCATCCACATCATTTCAAATGGTAAGATTTCATTTTCTGATGGCTGCATAATATTCCAATGTGTGTATATATACCACATCTTCTTTATCCATTCATCTGTTGATGGACATTTAGGCTCTTTCCATAGTTTGGCTGTTGTGGACATTGCTGCTATAAACATTGGGGTGCATATACCCCTTTGGATCATTACATTTGTATCTTTGGGGTAAATACCCAGTAGTGTAATTGCTGGGTCATAGGGTAGCTCTATTTTTAACTTTTTGAGGAAACTCCATACTGTTTTCCAGAGTGGCTGCACTAGCTTAGATTCCCACTAACAGTTTAGGAGGGTTACCCTTTCTCCCCATCCTCACCAATATCTGTCATTTCCTGACTTGTTAATTTTAGTGATTTTGACTGGTGTGAGGTGGCATCTCACTGAGGTTTTGATTTGTATTTCCCTGATGCTGAGTGATGTTGAGCACTTTTTCATGTGTCTGTTAGCCACTTGGATGCCTTCTTTGCAGAAATGTCTGTTCATGTCTTCTACCCATTTCTTGATTGGATTATTTGTTCTTTGGGTGTTGAGTTTGATAAGTTCTTTATAGATTTAGGATACTAGCCCTTTATCTAATATGTCATTTGCAAATATCTTCTCCCATTCTGTCAGTTGCCTTTTGGTTTTGTTGACTGTTTCCTTTTCTGTGCAAAAGCTTTTAATCTTGATGAAGTCCCAATAGTTCATTTTTACCCTTGCTTCCCTTGCGTTTGGCGATGTTTCTAGGAAGAAGTTGCTGAGGCTGAGGTCGAAGAGGTTGCTGCCTGTGTTCTCTAGGATTTTGTTGGATTCCTGTCTCACATTGAGGTCTTTCATCCATTTTGAGTCTATTTTTGTGTGTGGTGTAAGGAAATGGTCCAGTTTCATT